ACTCCTCAACAATTCTCACCTTTACCACACCATCAAACATGATACCAAGAACCGCGGAATCGATGTCTCAGACGTAAAGGTCAACCTGGAGCAGTTCATGAAGGCTAAGGACACCGCCGTCGGCGGCCTGACTAAGGGTGTCGAATTCCTCTTCAAGAAGAATGGTGTCGAATACATCAAGGGTGCCGGCACCTTCGTCAACGAGAACGAGATCAAAGTCTCTCTCAATGACGGTGGCGAGACCTCTGTGAAGGGCAAGAACATCCTGATCGCGACTGGCAGCGAGGCTACTCCCTTCCCTGGTCTCGAGATTGACGAGAAGCGCGTCGTCACCAGCACTGGTGCGCTCTCTCTCGACAAAATTCCGGAATCCCTCGTTGTCATTGGTGGCGGCATCATTGGTCTGGAGATGGCCTCCGTCTGGTCCCGTCTCGGCTCCAAGGTGACTGTTGTGGAGTTCCTCGGCCAGATTGGCGGCCCCGGAATGGACGCCGAGATTGCCAAGAGCTCTCAGAAGATTCTTAAGAAACAGGGTATTACCTTCAAGACGGGCACCAAGGTTCTGAGCGGCGACAAGAGTGGCGATAAGGTCAAGTTGGAGGTCGACTCTGCCAAGGGTGGCAAGCCGGAGACGGTAAGACTTGGCCAAAAATCGGTTTGGTAGAAGATGCTGACCTGTTTATTAGCTCGATGCCGACGTCGTCCTTGTCGCGATTGGTCGTAGACCTTACACGGGCGGACTGGGCCTTGAGAACATTGGTCTCGACCTCGACGAGAGAGGCCGTGTCATTATCGATTCCGAGTACCGCACTAAGATCCCTCACATCCGTTGCGTTGGTGATGTCACCTTTGGACCTATGCTGGCGCACAAGGCCGAGGAGGAGGCTGTTGCTGTTGTCGAGTATATCAAGAAGGGCCATGGTCACGTCAACTACGGCGTCATCCCGTCTGTCATGTACACCCATCCCGAGGTTGCTTGGGTTGGCCAGAGTGAACAGGACCTCAAGTCTCAAGACATCCCCTACCGAGTCGGCTCATTCCCCTTCAGCGCCAACTCCCGCGCCAAGACGAACCTGGATACTGAGGGCATGGTCAAGATGCTTGCTGACACTGAAACGGACAGAATCTTGGGAGTCCACATCATTGGTCCCAATGCTGGCGAAATGATTGCGGAGGCCACTCTTGCTCTCGAATATGGAGCATCCAGCGAAGACATCGCCAGAACTTGCCATGCTCACCCCACCCTGGCTGAGGCCTTCAAGGAGGCAGCTATGGCCACCTACTCCAAGCCGATCCACATGTAAGGCCAGTCACAGCGATGCAATGGTGCGAGTGGTGGAAAGCTTTGGCGTCCTGAAACAACGACATTCGAAGCATGTAATTTGTATCACCTGAGGGACAGCGGATAGAAGTTCGAAAAGGTAGTTTGTAGCATAAGCATACGTTTTTACGCCAGCTAGAGGGTTATTATCCAGGAAAGGGACTCGTCATTACATCGAACGCTCTAGGCATACCACACTGTGACCGGGGTCCTCCGAACGGGTATGTACGGGCATGGATAGATGGCTCCCTGCTTAGGCATGCTGTCTGATTTATTTACACTGCGCGTTGCCGGCTGTGAGATACGGTCAGCAGTAGTGGAGATACCTTATCCGAAGTCGGTCTCGGCATTTCCATCTGTCTATGATACTTTCTGTACCGTGATTAGTAAAACAAAAGACCCGAAATAAAGTGGTTGTAGCTGGCAGGGCTGGAGACCTTGTATTGGCCTGCGGCTGTCTTCAGTGTCTTCGAGAGATTTCAGATCGTAATCACGGGGCTACTTGGACGCAGGCACGAGCGAACCGATGTTTTGTCATGTTATAAATTTCCCCGTTCATGTTCAAGCTGTTGGATTTACGCATCTTCGCCCGTGTCTGGCTTTTCTAGCAACGCCTCTGCCATCTTACACGCCTCCTTGACTTTTCTAGTCTCTTTCTTGCCGCCAACAAGGTCTGTAGCCCGGACCTTTTTGCGCAAGAAATAGCCTACGCTCCTCGCGAGGGCTGGCGTCAACCCACTGCCGAAGCATACTCCAAGGGCTTGCTCCAGGCTCTTGCCCTTCACGTGACTGCACTCTTGAAGCACAGTGATGAGCATTACCTCGACGAACAAGCTGGTCTTCTCCCTGACGTAAGCCAGATTGAGTGGTTTGAGAATCCCAAGACTGACAGAGCCGTCAGCAACTAAGCTTCCCATCATCTTAGCAGTGTTGATGAGACGTCGGTCGTCTACCCCCTCCTCGTCTTCCTCCTCGGCCTCCTCTCCAAACAGAGGCTCACCAAGTCTGCGGAATAGCGTCCACAAGCTATCCTGAAATGCATGCTTGATCCGTGAATCGGTGCAGAACTTTTTGGATACCAATGTGTAGAAAGGATTGTAGTGTTGCTGTGCTCCTGAGCACTGGAGAAGGACATTTGGCACCTCGCGTCTGTTGTATTTGTTGAGTCGTAGCTTGAGAATACGCATGTACGCGTCCCGATAGTCGGCAGCCGCAACTAGCGCGATAAAGATGGCTCGTCGAACATCAGTGTTCATTCCTTGCTCTCGTGCCAATTGCGTGTAATCGTGAGTCGCCAGATCGTCAGCATCTGCAACCACCATATCGTCAACATCTCCTGCGATCGCGCTTCTCTCCTTATCCTTGTTTGCCGCTCGTGTATCCTGGCCTGCCCAGCTGGCTCCCACCAGCCACCATTTGCCCGTCTTGTCTGCGTTCTCGATATCCTTCAGACCGATGCGAAGGGGCTCTGATGCCTTGAGCTTTTGCGCGTCAAGAGAACCCAGAACCTTTCTCATGCGCGTGACATGCTCACCAAGAATGGCCAGATCCTGTGCGCCAGCCTTGACCTTATTATTCTTGAGGTCACTGATGGTCTCGACCATAAACCTGGTGCGAACCGTCAGGTTGCTCTCCCCAATTTTGGCTACCGCAGGACGAATCAAACTGACGATATCTTTCAGCGCCAACGGATCGTCCTTTCGTAGTTGAGGGCCTGATACGCGAACAATCCGCAGTAAGAGCTCGGCATTCAGTTCCGATAAATCCTCGAGAAGGAGCCGCACAAAGTCGAATATCAGGTTGCTGCCGACGACACGGAACATGTACATCTCCGCAAGCACGGTGAGGAGATTAGATGTCTCCTTCGTCGGTATGCGGTCTTCGTTGACCGCTACTATTGCTTTGTCCCTCTCATCCTGGAAACGCTCCACAGCCGTGGTAAGGAAATGCGCGGCGAAATCGATACCAATGACTTTGTAGAGAGCAGCAACGAAGCCGGCTGACAGGACGAGTAGCGTATCGGGCTTGCTTGTAGGATCGCAAATTTGAGCCATCAGCAAGCCTGTCAAGATATTGTTGGTGTGGCCCCTTGGATTGTCCTGATATATCCTGTCGATCTCACCAACAATGGATACCAAGTTTGCTTCAGTGACCCTGTTGACAGGACCCTGCAGCTTCCTTCGGATCTGAGCCTCAAGATCTGCATCGCCGCCTGATCGTGCTCGCAACGACGGAGGGATATACTTGGGAAGCTGCGTGCCAGCTGAGACTGGTGGGAGATATGGGTTCTCTCTGATAGGTTTGGATTCCTGGACAGGCTCCTCATCTTCGGAGTCGAAATCTCCCAGTGAGCCCTGGTCATCAGAGTCGCCCTGATCTTCCATGAAAATTCCATCTTCGTCCTCGTCGTCTTCGTCATTTTCTTCATCTGATACCTCTTCGTCTGTAAACCCCGGCTCATCATCGTCGTCGTCGCTTCCCGTTATAGACCTGATTTTTGCTTGGACCTGGATCGCTTTCCTTCGTTTTGCCGCAAGCCATGCATCGGCCTCGCTCTTGACTCTGTGGCTTCCTTCGTCCGATTCGTTGCCGTCGTTGAGATCGCCAAGCAAATCATCGAGTCCGTCGTCCTTGAAAGCCTTGGGGATGGACTTCCGACCCTTCTTCAATCCTAATTTACGCTCAAGCTGCTCGATTTCGGCGTCATCTTTGGCCAGCCTTTCTTGCACGGCGCGAGACGGGTGATTCAACACTAAAGGCTTCTCGGAGTCATCGTTGTCGTCTTCGTCTTGGTATTTGCTGATTTGCTCCCGCTTGCGCTTTTTCGGGGCTGGGCTGCGTGGCTCCTCTGGTTCGTCGAGAGGACGTTTGCCATCATTGCCCTTTCCGTGGTTACTGATAGGACCTTGGATCTGTACAATGTGGTCCCGCGATGTTGTTGTTCTTGTTGTCTGCCGCTGCTTTTTGGACTGCCTGTCGGCTTTCCGTCGATCTTTTCTGTTCTGTCCCTGGCTCTTCCAACGAGGATTAGATCTTGAGGTGGCAGATTGATCCGGCGCACCAATCTGTTTGAGGAGCTGTGTGGGTAAGGCGAGCGGCTTTGGAGGCATATCGTCGGATGGTGAGGTGTAGAAACACGTTCTCAGACTTTGCAATAGCAACGGAACCAGGTCTTGTCGAGAAACTCTTGCGCGAATGCCGACTTCGAGAAACTTTTTAGTGGGGTAAAAGCTCGAAAACGGGTACCTGAGCACCGATTCGCGGACTCACCGATGCGCGGTCACGCCACACCCCTCCGTTTCTTTTAGTGAACTAAGAAGGTAAAGTACTTATATCTTTTGAAATTATCTCACGGTTCTCGACATAGTGTGATGATATTAGCTTAGCATAGCTTATAATATATATAATTAATATATTATAATATGCTATAACTGTACGTAATTACTCTTTAATTACTTTTTTAATTATATATTAATTTCAAAGTCTATCGAGATAATAAGAGTATTTTTTAATACTGTATATTAATACTATATAATTAATATTAAGAACTGTCCGAGCAGCTAGCAAAGGCAAAATAAATAAATAAATAAATATTGATTTTAAGGTAATTTATTATAATATACATATATATATTTTAATTTCCACTCTATTTCTTCTAAGAACTATATTGTATATTTGCTTAGTAAATAGAAAACTGTTGCAACTGCTTTTCACTGCTCATGGTCCCAAGTAGGTATGTCACCTTGCATACTGGGTAAGGTAGCTCCAAGTAAACCCCACTGTCCGGGGGGCCCATACACCCTTGCTCACTATCATAGCCTTGCTGCGGGGAATGGCCAAACCCGCACATGAGCACCTAGCAGCCCGTTTCACCAAACTGGTTGCTTTTGTATACCGACATCTCATCATTTCCGGCGTCTCTGATGGAATAACACACCGTGCAGCTGCATTATTCTACTATCGTAGTGCTTCATCTGGTTGCGCGCGACGCTAGACGCTTCGGTGATAATGTCAGCCCACCTCAGTCACGAAGAGGTATACTTTTTCCTACTTCGCCCCTATCGCATCCGATTTGTCCTTGTATAAGTTAATGGTCTTGCTAACAACTCGACCATAGTTCTTCGGCAAGTTGGCAGAGCTTTTCGAACAACGCAAGAGCAAGGGACGTGGCTCCATATTCCTCGTCCAGAAAAGATGTATGTCCACTACTTCGCGGCCGCACCCGAGATACCCAGAGACTCATCGTCTTCTCTAGTAACCTACGGCCAAGATACGGCCTCGACACCACCAGCCGGCGATGATTCCTTCTCCGACCTCCACCCCGCAAATCCACTCCCTGTGATTGTGCGCGCGACAAACGGCAAGTCGAAGAAACATAGAGACGACAAGATCAAGCTGTCCACAATCGTTCAGCCCGATGCTTTGGAATCCTTCTTCGCCAGCTACGCCAACATCTGCAAGGGGGGTATGTCCGCACTCAAGCCCCGGGATCGGAGTAAGAAGAAGGCCAAGTCCAGAAAGAAGAAGGGAGGTGCAGTCACGGCCGTCGCTGCGGCGTGAGGGAAGGACGGCTTGAGTTGAACTTCCGTTGCGCCACCAATATAGCCAGGTTATATACCGCCATCGTTTGTCCCCCGAAGAGGCAGTGCATCCCTTGTGATGGGGTGAAGGAGATGGAAATCAGATATCACGCACACGTCATCGACGCTTCTGGCACAGTACCTAGTATCCATGGTCCTGAGCCCGAGAGCACAAGTAGGCGCTTTCCCATCGTACCGCCCAAGCATCGTCGGTCCCTGTCAGAGGGCTTAAGATGACAATCCGGGGCTGTATAGAAAGAGTCACAGGTGGATTACATGCCCTCAGTACCTAGTAACTTATTAAGGCTGAGTAGTAACTAGCTCTGCGTCTTCAAATGTTACATGAACCTCACCACCACCACTATCTTGTCTCTTGTGTTGTGCTCAACAATCGAGACGGGAGTTTTGTATGAAAAATAAGCCTTCGCTGAACCCCTCGACGGTCTCCATCACACATGCGCACTTCTCGCACTCCTCTCGTCTGGGTCTTTTCGGGTTTCCGACGTACATGCAAAGGCTCTCTGGGCACTTGGACGCCTGCTCTCTGCCCTCGCAACTCGCTAGTCTCTTGCGTTTCTGCCATCTCGTCCGGCACCTTGGGCACCAGTAAAGATGGAGTTCGCACATGTTTATAACATTCGTGTGTGGTGAATACAGGCAAGAGTCAAGGTGGTTCTCGGTTTCAAGTAGGGCTTTTTAAATCAACCGGGAGAAGAAGGGTTGGTTGGAGATGTCTGCTCTATTCATAACGTTACCCAGCGGTTCGGCATCGTTTTATGAGAATTGGATTGCAAGTTAGGGGGAAGATACTCTGACTGGAACGGGAGAGACTTCTTCGCGTTTCGGTTTGCACTGAGGTGCAAACTCAGGGTCACTAGCCATAGTTTTCATATTGTACAACTTGTGGTTTGCTGAGACATCTTGCTTTGTGGAATACACAACGCGGTTATGACAAACCTTCGCCAGTGGGTGAAGCCCATCACCTTCAATGCATCAGACCTTCACACTGGGCCGTATAGATGAATGAAATGTTTACAACACGAGTATTGCATCCCTCTTACCTTTGCGACCGATGGTCTAGCATGCTGAAGTCTCAGGCGCCGCTCATGCGATTCTTGTTGGATTGTATACTGCTTGGATCGCCATGTCACCGTCTTGCAGTCTCTGATGGATGGGAACTTCCGCCATCTTTGAATTTGAGTTCTATTCGAAATTCATTCCAGGTTGAGGAGCTTGATTCACCTCCTACCTCGCTAGCTGGCCTCGGAAAAGACGAGGAAGATACATGCATCCCCATCCAAGGATAACTTTTTTCTCGCAAGCCCACTTTGAGCAGACGCTGCCGGAGTGCTTGTCCGCGATGACTGTACGACTGAGGCAGAAAGAACCCTCATAGGTAAATGATAACAACGACATTGCGTGATGAGGAGTCGATTCAGAATGGTCGACGAGTCGTACCCTGCAGCCAATCATGGCTGAGTTCATCCCGCCTTGCATACCCGAAATGCAACTCGAAAAGGAAAGGAGATTTTGCCATTTTGAAAGTGAATGAGACTGTGAAGGAAATGCGTGACGAGTACAATAACAATTTTGCAGGCCGTTCAGTGACAGCTTACCACGTCCAATGACCGCGCTACATCGTGGGTGAAAGGACGAGGCTAGAGTCCAGGCCTTTGGATACCATGTTGCTGGGGCATCGCATCACTTGAACCCTTTACATGATCTGATCCTGCGTCAAGCCTGCATGGACATCGGTGTCCATGCTATCACCACCACCTTGAGCGTTGAGGTATCTCACGAAGCTCAGTCCCAATGGCCGGCCACCATATTGGTACCCCTGGAACTTGGCGATTGCAGTCTCCGCGGTTTCTGCAGAATCGAAACGGACTACACCAGTCCCGCGAGAGCGACCGCTCGGCTCGTACTGAATCTCGGCCTGCTCAACCTTTCCGATAGTGGTGAATAGCTCAACGAGATCCTCGTTGCTCGTGGACCAGGGAAGCTACCCAGTGTCAGTGTGGGTTTGCGGGGAACTGCGCAAGTGAACCTACGTTTCGTGTGTAAATGACCTCGCTGCGATCGGTTCCAGCGGTTGCGTAGTCAGTGAATGGGTTAGGAGGCACCGAAGGAGCGTTGCCAGCGTCAAAGCCACCTGGGCCACCGGGACCGCCGGGACCGGGGCCACCGCCGCCGAAACCTCCACGACCGTAGCCGCCACCACCAAAGCCACCACGGCCGCCGCCAAATCCGCCTCGACCGTATCCGCCGCCGAAACCGCCTCGCATGCCACCGCCGAAGCCGCCTCGGCCTCCGAAGCCCATGGGCCCTCCTGCGCCAGCGAATCTGTCTTCACGGACTTCAAGAAGACGCCCCTGCCAGTCATAACCGTTGAACTGCTGAATGGCGTTGCGAGCGTCGTCGGGGTTCTCGAATACGACAATTCCCGATCCCTTGGGACGGCCGTCAGGTCCTAGATGAACATCTGCGCGGATGACGACTCCGTTGCGAGCTAGCACATTTGATAATAAGTCTCCAAGTTTCATCGCGAGGGACACCAATGGGTCTGATTGGCGAAGAGGCTTTGGGTGTTCTACTTACCAGCCTGTCGGAACAGGTCCTTGAGGTCTTGCCAGCCCACAGTGTAGGGAAGCTGTGAGCAGTTGCAGTCAGTATCGGGAAGCGTTAGAATCCTACGCCAAGACTAGGGGGAACAAACGTTGGCAACATAAATCTGTCGGCTGCCCCCTCCGGGATTGTAGCCGCCGCCACCGCCGCCGCCGCCGAAACCACCGGGGTTCATCCCACCGCCACCACCACCAAAGCCGCCGCGGTTGGCAGTGGCGCCGATGAAACGGGGTTCAGCTTCGCGATCCTATAAATCCATAGTTAGACAGCATTCGACGAACCACAAGGTACTATTCAGAACGTACCTCTCGAACGTAGACAAGTCGACCCATGAGGTTCTGGTTGCTGAGAGTGGCCACAGCGTTCTGGGCTTGGTCCCGCGTCGCATATTCCACAATTCTGTAATTTCGCCGTCAACATCTATCGCGGTTGAATCCGAGATGGCATGTGAACTTACCCGCATCCCTACATACACCCACGGACACAAGTCCCAACCCGTCAACCCAACGATTCCATCAATAGCCAGAGGGAAGAGTCCACAAAAGAAAAAACCAGCCATAGACTACGTGTAGAAGCCCACCTTCGACATTCCATTTGGAAGTAATAACACGTCGGCGAAGAGAACCTCTCCAGCTATATCATCCCAACTAGTCAGCTTGCGCAACCTGGGCCGAAGTGCCAATGACTGCACTTACCCTGTCGCATGAAGTCCTTGAGATGATGCCACTTCACATCGTAGGAAAGGTTGCCGACGTAGACGCGGCGATCCTGTTGAGACGTTTCCCTAATGTTGCTCATCATTTGTTCGCGGGCGGCTGCGCGCTCCTCATACGATCGGTGTGGTGGTGCCCCTCCGTAGCCAGTGCTAGATCCTCCAGACGGAGCGCCGGTTCCAGTCATGGGGGAACGGTCTCTCCTTCCGCGGTATTCGTCTCTACTACGGGATCGGCTCCGAGGAGAGAAAGAACGGCGTCTTGATGCGCGGTTGGGACTGCGCGAACGTCCACGTCGAGGCGATCGAGATCTCTCCCTCTGTTGCAGATTAGCGATGAACGTCGCCATTGGCCGAAGCGTATATGCCCAGAGGACTGTGTTGGTGTTTCGCAAGTCACTTGACGTTGGTGAGAAGTGGTTGGCAGCAAGCGTGGTTTGATGGCATCAGGTTGGGTGAGGGGGTGAAATTTGGAGGCAGGGAGATGAACAAGGTAGGTAGATAGGTAGGTCTGTCTGCGAAGCACAGAAGGTACACCCGGAAGGCCAGCCGAGCCAGGTCAGGCAGGCGCTGCACCACCTCCGACACTTTCCTCATCCCGAATGGCCAGACGGAAACAAGCAAGCGTCGGATGAGTCGCATAGCCACTGCAACTCGAGAAATGAAGGTGCAGTCGTGATGAAGTGCCTCCTAAGCTATGCCATCTTCTTTGAGACGGCGCGGCACAACTTGCGAGCAAGAGGCTGGTGGGAAGGGAGACCGCGGCGGAGGCACAGACACCGGCTCGGGCGGAGAGGAACGGGGGGAATACAGGGACAAGTACCGGCTCGACAATGATTCCGGACGGACGCTTTGAGTTTGGGACAACAGAAGGAACTGGGGTGATCTTACACTCACAGGTCGATAGGTGTCGCCGGAGTCAGCTACAAGAGATTGAGTTAGTTGGAACTGCCGGAAAGCTAGGAGATTCCCAGAGTATATGGGACAAAAAAGCAAGAGTAACACGAGAAGATGGCTAGGGAGATAGGGAGGAGAGAGGAGGAGAGGAGGAGAAGAAGCAAGAGAAGGAGGGTGCCGGCGAGGATATTTGGATACCTTACTCGAAAGGTGGGCAGCAGCGAAGAGGGACGAGGGGGGTACGAGGCCAGTCGGTGGAGAAGGAGTAGGAAGGAAATGCAGCTGGCGGACAATACGCAAGGAAGAAATGGTATTCGCTCCGTCTTTCCTGCTCTCTCTTTCTCTTTCTCTCTGTAGAGGAGGGGGTGGGAAAGCGAGGGGGAGGCAGAAGGGAGGGGTGGGTGGGAGAAGGAGGATGTGGCGGGGAGGGGGGAACCATCAAGCCTATGTAAGGCAAGAGAGATATGGGCTGGGCTGAGGCAGGCCGGCGTTCTTCTCACACATGTATGTAAGGCCTGGCATGAATTGATGGATCAACGGATGGGGGGATTGGGATTGAACGGTTGGGTGGATGGAGGGATGTCCGCGTGTGTCCCAAGTCAGGCATGCGCGTGTACGAAGGGTGTACAAAAGGCAGACAGGCATGAGCGAGCGTACGTATATGTAGGGTAAGGCTGGACAATACTCCGTACTGTCCTGTCCTTACTTGTCCAGGACAGCGGCAGGAGGGAACGTGTGAGGCGAGC